AAAGTTAATGCCTCGTTCAGTAATTTGTAAACATTTATGTTATACAAATCTTAGTATTCATGTTCCTCAAGACATTTTCTATTGAAAATTGTCCATTTTGCCAATTAGTTGGCACATTCCAAGGAAGAATTCCTTGAGTTAGATCAGGGAATAAGCTCTATTTTCCTAAGTCAGGTCAGTAAATCAAGTTCAGGGCGAAAATTTTCATGTTAAAGGTTGTTAAAATTTTCAAGCCATTGTCAAGGTAACGGTTGCCAGTGTATAAGATTCAATATTCCGGGTTACCATGGAGGCTTGAAATAAGAGCCACTTAGCCGGGTATACCATGGAGGCTTGAAGCTGGGACCGGAGCAGTATGATGTCATGTAATAACAACCTTTCAAGTCAGTCATGTCATGTATCTGACCAATCATGATAGTTCAAGTTATGGTTTTCAAAGCTCAAGGTCAGTTATTTTTTTTGTACTTGCGGGACCAGTTGATACTGGAACAGCCCTATACAGTACAAAGTCATGAGTCAATGTCCAGGATTTAAAGTTAATGTTCATGATTTAATGTCGACGTATAATAGTTGTTCAGCCGGGTTAAATATGGAGGTCTGCAATACAGACTATTAATCCAATTCTACCTGGAAACTTGAAGTCGCACCTTATCAAGTCAAGTAAATCAGTAAATGTCATGTTCCAAATTCCAAGGCGACTATCTAGTTGTCTCGGAATAGATTCCAAAGTTCAGATAAAAGTGATTCAGTCATGTAAAAGTCAAGTCATGATTATTCAGTTATGTGAATATTCAGGCCAGTCATGTCAAGATCGAGGATAGTCTGTCTAATAAGACAAGACTTATCAGTCATTTCAAGTATATCCAATGCCTCGATTCTCAAATTCAAAAAATTTGAGAAATTGCAGGAAAGATTAGTTCATGATAGATTTTTATTGAGGTTAAGTTTAACCTCAGGGAAGATAAACAGTTGCAGGTACCACAGGTTGACATATAACGCGACGAAGGGCCAATCAACAGCAATAGACCATGCCATGATAACCAACTGAAGCTTTTCATCCAAGGATGCATGACGCAAGAAAAGAAGGATGCCATGCCTGAGTCACAGTACACCGGAGATTACAAAGAGTTAGCATTATAGTACATTGAGGTTACTAGCTTGAGATACAGATATGATCAGTTATACAGCTTATGCCGACGACGCAGGTGCAATGTTCGCCAGGTGCTGTATGCAGGCGTGCCGCACTCACTTGATGAGGAACAGGTGTGCCGCATTACAATGTGCCGCGAACGATGTGCCGCGTTATCGAGCAGATGTTCACGAACGGTAATCACCGATATTGCTAGTTATCCTCATTTGTACATGTGCGTATCTCTGGAATTTTCCGTGTGTACCAACGACTGGAGGTTTTCCACAACCAACGATCAGACCGAAGATCAGCAATCAGCCAGGAGGTGATGACTAGTACGTTCAAGAATTATGCTTTTAATATCATGTATAATAAGTGGAACACTTTATTTCAAGAAAGTGTCCATTCTCAGTCAGCAGTATCTAACAATTCAGTTAATTGTGAATTGATGACTCCTCAGTTCAGATCAAATCCATTATTCAGTATTAAGTACTGAATCATCAAATCATGTAATCAGTAAGTATAAGCTTTATGTTAAGCTTGTACGTCCAGTTTTAGTAT